ATAACCATATAAATTTATGCGAATATTTAAGATAATTTAGTGTAATATCATTGTGTAATAATAACATAAGATGTCATTCATTATTATACTATCGTATAGTATTCATGATAATATTGTTTATAATGATATTGTTCATAAACATGTCTTTCATAATGATATTGTCTTTCTTTCTTGTGTCTTGTTATTATCTTTTGTTTTTGTCTATGTTTGTAAAATCTGAAGTTCTGGCATTTGATTGAAAATGATTGGTAAACGATCGAAAATTCCCATATGAATAAAACATTTTTCATTAAAAACTTCTATATTTGTTTTTATTTATTAGAAATACATAATTCTCGCTATTATTATTCTTTGAATGTAACTTAATGTCGTCTTTACGTGTACACTAAAACATTCAATGTTAAACAATTAGCTGTTCAAATACGCTGGTGGTTTCCATTTACTATACCTAAAAATTTATAGTAATTATCTTAAGAAATGAAATCTTATGTGAAATTGTGTTATGTAGTTATTCGAGATGAAATTGACAAGCAAGAAAAAAGATTTGTTTTTTCTTCGAATACAAATATGATTTCATGAGCTAGTTTTTATAAAAATAAAGACTTTTTTTATATGAAGTTCTATGATAGTGAAAGGAAAGATTCAACAAGCATGTATAACTGCGTAGTAAATTTCCTGTCTTTTGCTTTGTTGGAATCGTAACCAAATCTCATTTAATGTATTTTATTCAAAGAATTAATTATATTCTCACTAATGAGACGTTACAATTGCCCAAACAATTGTACTGATGACATACCATAATCAATCATTTACACTAGAATTTTTCGACGATCGTTAGATTTATAAAGTGTCAATCAGTAAAAGTCGTTTTTTTTCTATTGCGTTTCAATATCTGACTAATTTGTTTTGTTTTTTTGTACTATGAAAAAATATCATGTATTCATTCATAAAGATATAACTGTTGTCGACATTTATCATCATTTTCTTTTAGCATAATTATGAAGAAAATTCATTAACATTTAGGTTTCAACTAAAAGGTATAATGAATTTATTATTGAGGAAAAATATGTGTTATATATATTCTTTATGACAAGAAAAATTGATAATAGATAAATTCACTGCAATTTTTACAAATAAAAAGTATGGATATATGATTACAAAAAATCATCAGAGTAAATTAAGTCAAGTTGCTGGTCTAAGTATTGTTATATGCCATCTAACCATGAACAGTTTTTCCCTTGTTACTTTCACCTTGTGGACCTGATTTACTTCCAACACCTTTGAAAAGAAATAAAATATTTTAAAAACCATATATAATTATTCTATCATCGATTCTCAAAAACAAATACAGTAATGAATTAAAAGAAAACGTACCAGTGCCTCCACTGCTACTACCTCCACCTGTTGCACTTTGTTCACCACCAGTACTTTGATTAGTTGTATTCTTCATGCCAGCATCAGTTGAAGTAGCTTTCTGTCCACTAGTACTGCTTGAGCTACCTCCACCACTTGTCATAGATGAACTTGCACCAGCTACTTGTTTGCCTTTTGCTCGTTCATTATCATCATTATGCATTGGATTTTCTGCACCTCCTCCAACGTGTGTCATTTCTTCTTAGATCAATATAAAACAAGTTTATTGTATTATTATTTTATTTGTGTGTATAAATGGTTATGGAACACCCGATAATATTACTTATATACCATGCAAGGGAATATGAAGAAATTCCGCCAACATCATCATCACGTGGAAGTTATACAAGACAAGATCATCAAGTGCATTTCTTGTCGAACTTATTACCCTCATATTCAGTAAGATTTTCTAAGGTCGTTTTTTTTTTGTCGATACTGAAAAGAAAATATCTGCTATCTACGTAATACTTCTGATGATTAGCTTTCTAGAATATTTATATGACGGCACACAAATAAATACGTAGGATATGATACAATCGTAAACATGATGTAGATAATTTTTTGAATAAAGAACAATGAATGTCTAAAAATTTATTATTGATACGAGAAATACATCCGATAAATGAATATTACATTAGTTATATAAAAAATCTTTTTCGAATGATCAATCAATCATTGTGAAATAAATATGTTCATTACTTTGGCTTCTAAATAAATGAATTATAAGTGTTTTGAATAACTCGATACTTAATATGTCAGATCGATTTCATATATCTGATACAATAAAGATTTATAAATTAATTAATATATTATTGACAGTACATAATAATAATCATTTGCTATATGTTTTCTTTAAAAACACATTTACCAAATGAAATTAAGCTCCGAAGATCTATCTTGCCATTGACTAGTCAAACTAACAATATTGTTGATAAACTATTATCGAAATCTTCAATATTAAACAATTTACAGCGCACGTCAAAAGTCTCGCAGAAATATTTTTGTATTGAGTGATGTATTGAAATTATACAACATTAATTTAATTCGACTATATGCCTGTATAGTAGAGATCTAATATTATTATATGTACACCTGTTTAATACGATAAAACCTTGAGTATGCAATAAAATTAATAAAGCAAACTCCAGTGCTAAGAAAAAAATGACAAAATGATATTATTGTTATGAAGAACCCTGTCGGATTAGATGAACTATTCACAATTGAGAAAATAAAAATATGCCATGTTGTAGAGCAAGTCGAGATGCATCCAATGGTATACAGTCAATCTTATTTTCATAAGACTTTGAAGAAATTAAAGTCAATTTACTGATAGATGACTATGCATTCAAGGCATAAGCAATTACTGATCATTATAGTTCTTGGTATCAGTCGAAAGTATTTGTAAAAACTTGTCTTGTTTACAGTTTTATAGAGCTTTTCGCAGACTACAAGCTTCCGTAATTAATATCTCCAACCATTCTATCTTTGATAGAAAAAAATATTATCTTTCAATAATATAGAATCGTTTTTCACTAATGGTAAGTCTTCAGGTCTTCCATAGTGTCGGCCATAGAGGACATGATCAGACGTCAAGCGTTCTTAGAAATTGCCGGGTATTTAGCACTACAAAACACACTACTTGGAAGTTCAGGTATGCGTGTGATTGAAAGAAAGACTTACACTCACCTCCTCTCAATTCGGAATAGGTCACCTAGTCCGACAATGTCTTTTAAAACAATAACATCGTTTTGTCATTTTTTTCTTAGCACTGAAGTTTTTTTTTTTATTGTATCGTATGCTCAAGGTTTTGTTGTATTAAACAGGCGTATAGTCGAATTAAATTAATGTTCTGTAGTTTCAATATACAGCTCAAAACAAAAAAAATGGTGCGAAACTTTTCACATGCACTGTATACAAGTATATGATGTCATCTTCTTCAAAAATCTTCTCACACTAATCGACGATCTTGACATCATTCTTTCCAGATTCTTGTCTAAAAATATTTTATCTACACTAAAAATACCTATTTATTATTACAATTCTTTTTCTTCATATTCATCATTTCGGATCGATAATGATTGACATATCGGCTAAACTGTAGTTTTAATTAAATTGTTTTTCAAAAACTCTAAAATCAGCTATAGTATGATCCATTCATGTGCTATGAATCCATCTTTACTATCAAATAGTGTCACTTATCTGATGTTGACATGCAAATCAAATGTTGTTTGACACGAATGTCTGTTGTTCATTTAAGTGAATACAACAGCTATTACATGTTGCTATTTAAAAATGAATATATTCTACGAATGTTGGTATATATATCTTTAGATACACCTATACAAAGACATCAGGTGATCTATCTTGAAGGTTCAATAAGAATCTTTTTTCTTTTCTGTGAAAAGAAGTTCATCTAAATGTCAAGAAATTTTAATTATCTTGCAATTCTTTTCATATTCTTGTTTTGCTTGGTCTACTAGACAAAATTCTTTTCATCTTGAACTTCGGGCAAGAATCTTTTTTTCCTTTCCTGTTAATAGAATCTTGTCTGACCTTCAGAATTAAAAAGAATCTTGCCTGATCAATCAAGAAAAACAAGAATCTCGATAGAATAGATCCAAGAATGTCGATTAGTGCAAACGTTTCTATAATTATTCTAAAATTGACTTAATTAACTTTGTAAATTTTTCAATAAAATCTACCCAATTTTTACGTGCATATTTAATGACAATATGTTACTCGTCTATTGGAATCATTTTTATAACATAATGGATGTCCCAGATGTTCTGAAGTAATTTTGAAATACATCGTTCTCATATTCAACAAAAGTAAACTTTTTGAAACTTTTGCAGATGATTGTATCTATGTGGTACCAAATAACTACAAAGTTTGAGGTCTATAGCTTTTAAATATGGATGAAAGTCTATGACAACATTGTCATGTACTATTTTTTCATACTGATGGATAGGGCTGATTTTTTCACATTATATTCGTTTAAAGAACAAGAGAAACTTCGTTTAAATTAGTTAGATAATCAATCTGTATGTCCTTGTTCTTTAAACGAAAATAATGTCAAAGAATCAGCCCTATCCATCAGTATAAGAAGAAAGTAAAATTGTAAATTGAAAAACATGTTTAAAAAGAAATGAAAGAAGTTTAGTATTTTTTACTTCAATGAATAATGAATAAAATATTAATACGATTAAAATCAGTGATGGATCCAAATCGTAATCAAATACATGAATATTGATAAATTTATATCTGTTACTTTTTATTTCGAAAAGTTGTATTATTTTAAAAATAATAACCAAAATGATCAGAAAAATTGAAAAAATAGTACATGACAATGTTGTCATAGACTCTCATCCATATTTAAAAGCTATAGACCTCAAACCTTATAGTTATTTACTACCACATAGATACAATCATCTGCCAAAGTTTCAAAAAGTTTACTTTTGTTGAATGTGAAAACGATGCATTTCAAAATTATTGCAGAACTTCTGGGACACACTTTATCTTATTAAATAATTTAACAACCCTTCTCTTTATTTAGTGTAAATAAATCGAGAAAGAAATCAATGATTTTGTATAGGAAAAAAAACTGTTTCATAACCATTTTGGTTCAGGATCTTTTACGCATTCAATATGATTCATATGAGATTTTACTAAAAAATCGGGTGATTAATAATGCATTATTACTAAATTCTGAATATCAAATACTTTTATCATTTGATCATGAATCAACATTATTTTCTTCTTTATAATATAATGTATGACAATTGTCATTTGACTATAATATTATCAATTTATTTATCAATGATTAATGAATAATTTGATATGAAAATAACCAATTAACAATATAAAGTAAACCTCTTTTATTTATTGTTAAATATCAACATGATAGATAATAGAATTTCATCGTTTCTTTCGCTTTCAGAACTCAATTTGAAGATTTAGAAAAACTAGTTCATAAAAAAAAGTCATTTAGATGCATAACTGAGATATCTTTTATATACTATAGACATAGATTGATTTGTTCGCAGCAATTGTTACTATGTATAAATCTGAACGGCAAAATATAGTTTTTAAACTAAATTTTGGATTGCTGTTTTAAAATCCATGATCGATAGATTATAATTAGATGTTAATCTTTTTAAAATATATGTCATATAGTCCAAGAAAAGTGGTATCGATCGATATTGTAATAATCAAAACTTTTAATTGCACACTTATGTTGTGAATTTTGATATAATGAATATTTTTGGTAATCATTGATTTTCTTGAAAGATTCATGTCGCTTACTTATCATTTCAAGAGTTTCAATTCAAATCTAGCATCAATGATACTTCTTAGTTTTATAATTGTCTTATTGATTTATTCAGAAAGTTGTCCATTTATACTCTTGATATATTGAAAGTCAAACTGTATTGATATCATTTTGTTCTATACTGTCACTTAGTTTAATTCGCATTTTCCTTTATGCACAAGAGTGCAATGAATCCAAAAATTGCAAATTATAGGTTAGAGTACTCTAAATGAAACTAAATAATTAATTATTATATTTAAAAAGTCGGTAGAAAAAAAAAAACTTGTTTTACAGATTACTTATGTATACTGACAATCTCGCAGAAATATATTTTTCAATTAATTAAAAATATTCAATTAAATATATGTAATTAATAAATATATTTGCCTAACAATATTTGAAAGAAA